CAAGGTGTGTGGGAGAAGAAAAACACTACACACACTCCCATCTGTAAAACATGAATAATTTATTCAGTTAAACTTTCAGAACTCTCTCAAGCATCACAGTATATTAGTGTACAGTTAATGACCACTTCAGAATCATGCTTGTGGTGCAGAGCATAAATTTAGTGGTAAGTGCCACAAGATGTTTTTTCATTACTTCAAAGCAGCCTATGATTGACAATGAATTTATAAATAAACATTATCAGCCTTAAGAACTGCACTTCACTTCTTTTCGGCTTTGCAATAATCTGGATTGCTAGGAAACAATCTCTGTCTGACAACTGTCATAATCAGAAACATTCCTGGCTGAAATAACACAATCCAACAGTGTACTTTTAAATGAACTGTATGTCTTGAGTTCTGTGGATGTATTAGCACCCTCCATGGAAGGAGTGCGTGATGATATCACAGCACTCAATGAAGTGAGAGAGTTGGTTTCAGTCTCTGTTTTCCTGGTAACAATATTTAACTGTTTTTAAAATTCAGCTTTAAAACAGGAATCCCCACTACTGGTTTTCAGAAATCTCATTACAGGATATTAACCTTCCGGGAAGAGTATGTGTTTTCCTCAGGATTCATGCTTTTTTATTGGTTTATCCAAGTAAGGGGTGTTGTCTTGTAGCAGATCTTTCCTGGGTATGAGCACTGTAATAGAAAAAAAACACCCAGTAAGACTATAATGCTTTAAGAAAAAGACAGCCTTATCATGACAGAAGGTCTTGCACAGAAAGTCACTGGTTAAACTGTAGGAAGTGAACAATAAAGGATCAGGTCTTCCATTGAAGGGATGTCAAACATGACAAACAAGGGGATGTCTACAGGAATTTTTGTTGACAAGTCACTGTTTAACGTATTTATATGCAACCTGGGAAAGAAAGGGTTTTAATTACACCATTTAAGTCCTTTAAAAAATGGCTTACTGTGAAAAATTGCAATGCTTAAGACTTGCCTGAGTAACCAGTAAAATTAGAGACAAAACTACACCTAGAAACATACAATGCACACAGGTCAAGAAAAATGCTAACTTCAGAAAGAAATTAAAACTGATTATGACCACTCAGATAAGTTTAACAAGTAAAATTTTGTGAAAATAAATAAATAATATCTATGCTTGCCAGCCAAAAATGAAAATGAAAAAGAAAACATTATTGTGCATCATGGTGTGAGCTGTACTCAGCTCTGATTGAGGAAATGAGCTCTAAATCATCTTGAGATACAGGAGAATTGAAAATGGTGCAGAGAATAGCAAAAGAATAATCACAGGCATTCACCTGTTTTTTCTGAGAGAAGCTGTTTCATGGGAGAGTGGAACAAAAGGGAGGCAATAAGGGACTTAGGAACAGCTTGGTAAAAACAGATAGTCATAGAAGAGAAACCCACTGAAGATAATTAAAACAGAAACCATCCCTGACTGAGGAAGTGGTGCCAGGCGTAAACAGCTGGAAGATGCGAAAGTTCGCTTGCTCGGTTCCTGGTCTTCTACTGCCACCTGCCTGGAATCACTATGGAAGGCTTGACACAACTTGGTCTTGATCACAATGGCTGTCTTAAAGTCAAATGCTTTAACAAACCTAAACCTGAAAATTGTTACAAAACATTACAGGCAACACTGAACAGAAGTGGAAGAAAACAAGGCACACAGCTGAAGATCTCCCCTATGCTCTATCACACAGTTGTATGCTGAACCTACTACTTCTCCAGTATTTGACTGTAGGAGAAAGAAAAGAACTTCTAAATCAGGAATCAAAAGTTCAGAATTTGACAAAATTTGCACCAAGGTCATCATTGTGTCACAAATGTTCCACAGCACAATCTGAAACCAAAATTGTCCGAACAAAAAACCACCCAATCCTGAAAGAAAAAGCTATTCTAGGGACAGTGTACATACTGCACTTGCCAATTGTCCTCAGGCAGCTTCTACCTATTTGGTAGAGCAAGCACCTACAGATACACACTGTGACTACTACATTTAGACATACACTGCCTGACTAGCCAACACATGCTGCCTAATAGCTGTCCCTCCTAATAGTTGCTGGTTTAATAGTTGTCAGTACTTTCTTTCAATAAGGGCCTTAAAAGTAGTCATTGCCTCTTCTCTACCACCCTCCATATTTCAAAATATTTGTGTATAAACTTTGTACCTTTGAAACCTCCATATGTCCTAGGTAGTGGCATTAACCAACTGCTTAGACTAAGGGTTTGGGCAGAGAATAGCAGACAATTTGCCTCACTATCCCTTTACTTAATTTTCATGTTCTATATTTATTTACTGAACTACAACATTTTTAAACATCTTTTTAACATGTAGATTCACTCACCTATTTTGTCAGAATCTGTGTGAACTGCCTGAATAACAGAAGTTCTGAGGATCACTTCAACATCCGAAGCTATTTTCAGAAGCTAATGAAACAAACAACAAAGGCACAAAAAAAACCCCGGTGAGTAATTTAAATTATGTGTACTTATTCCTGAAAGTATTTTTCATACTAGACAACTACTCAACTAATAAACCCAGTTCTTCCAATTATTCATTTACTTATGTACTAGCTCTACATAGATATTGCTTTGGGGATTCTGAAATAACTTACAGACTGATAAATAAGCTACCTTGACACAGAGCACAAGAGAAGGACACTTTGGCTCAGTAACATACAGTTGTGTATGCATCTATATACCCAATTAAAACTGCAAACAAATAAGGTAAACTGCAACTACAAAAACAATTAACTGGTTTCCAATGATCAAAGACTACCCCTAGTTAAAGGGCACTCATTCTTTTAACACTACTACTCTTGAAATAATGAAACAAAACCAAGGGCAAAACATGACAAGAATTAAGAATACGGAGGTTTCACAGAAAAACAGTACAGGAACAACGCACTACCTAAAGATTAGCAGAGGCATTAGTATTTGGAAAAAGGCCTAGAATTCCTTCCCTCATTAAGCAGACAGGCAGAAGTGCCCTTGCTAGCTTTGCTGAGCCATTAAGAGGAGCTTAATACTTGTTTGCATGGCACTTGTGCCAGAGATAAATGAAATTGCACAATGTACTTCAGGAGACATGCTTACACTAGGAAGCAGTGTGAATCAACAGAAGTGGATCTTTGCCAAGGTTAGAGCTCAAGACTTGATGTTTATACTGCATTTCTCCTCATGCCTTTCCCTTTTAAGGGTTTGGATCAGGTATCCTTCAGTTCCACCCACAGCCAGGCTGCACACTGCTGAAACACACCTTTCACTCCAGACTGACCTCAAAGGAATTCTGCCATTTACTCTGACACTGCTTTACAAAGCAAGCCAAAGCACGGGAACTGGAGATAACCAAGGTAACCTCAGATGTGCACTCCTGATCTGAACTGAGCCCACTGCATTAGATTCAGTCGCCACATCTCAGGTTCTCATACTGTAGACACTCTGAGCTTATTAGGCCACTGTATACTTAATACATGCAAGTATGTGCAGGTACAAGCACTTGAAGCCATATTAGGATACACAGCAGCTTTCTATTCTGGCAAAGTAATGCACATTTGGTTGGTCAATATTCAGCATTTCAGCTGCTGTCCAAAGCAGAACACTAACAGCACTGTGTTTATGCAAGCAAGTGCCCAGACCCTCACGAGTCCTGTATCCTTTGATACAGTTCCTCTGCAACTGAGTCTATTCAGTGTGTGCATATAAAAAAATATGACAGCTTCTACTAGGTTTGATGACTGTCTAGCTGGGATCAAAGTCCAGCCGTTTTTTCTCTGACACATTTAATCAACTAACCCATATTAAAAAGTTACATACGCATACGTTGTAGGCTGCCAGTCCTAACAAATACAGATTTAAAAATTACAGTAAGTACTTTTCCTGTACATCTAGTAAAAAACCCACATAATTTAGCAGATCAGACACTGGGAACACAAACAGAGTGTCACTACTGGAGCATGATGATAACAAGCAGAAATGCAGAAAGTCCTAACTACATGCTCAGAACTATTTATGTTACTGTTCAGTGGCTGGTATGAGGTTTACATTTATTTCTGCAAGGGACAGGTGGGGGCACTTTCTTCCAACCAGTGCCCAATGATAATGTAAATACAGCCTGTTAAAAGGACTAAATTACTCACTCTTTATGGATGTTAAGAACTAAAGTTATCTAAAATATAGAAATTTCATTACAGGTCTCAGTAAGTTTTAGAAAAATGACAGTAGAAGTGTTAAGGTAACAACTGAGCGAAGGTAACTAACTCAGTGAGTTAACAAAATGCTCTACTACTTTTAATGCATCATGAGGACAGAAGCAGCAAAAAAATCCCTGTAATATAATTAATACCTGATATTGCAATCAGTCATAACCATTTTGCTGTTTTCTGCCCCTCACAAAAGATGCTGACTCATTTGTGATCTGCTACTAACTGAACAGATTATTTACTTTCTCTGTATCTTTGTGTGCTTGTCTACACAAGAAAGACCAGGTAAACTTAAGTGACTACAGCTCAGATAAATATTATAAGCAAAGTATACAAAATATTTACATGAAACCAGCAACATCAAACATTTTTCCCTATAATTTTATTATAAACTTCAAAATAAGCACACTGAACTATGAGAAGACACTTTAGTATGCTATTAATACCAATGGAGGTATCTAGATATTTATAAGCAAAGATCCATGTAAAAGCCTTTTCAAACTAACCTGGCCCTGATGTCTCAAAGTACTCACATTGGTTTAGAGATCCTTTAAATAAAAAGCTTCTTTGTAAGTGTTCTTATGGAAAGTGGGAAAAAAATCTAGAAGACAAAAAGTACCTCATTTATTTTTTCTTCAGATGTCTCATCTTGGTTATTTCTGAATTCTTCATTTATCTTTTGTCTTGCAGCTAAATGAAGTAAACAAAAAACCTAAAGCGTGAACACAAAATTGTATCTTGCCTTTACCACTGCCCCAAATCTCAGACTTTTAAGTCCTTTACAGCACCTTCCTGGGGCATTCAGCTTGAAGTATTTCAATATGAGATTCCCATGCAATTCACGTGATGCCACATTTCAGGCTGAGTGGTACAGCAATAAAATAAGATTCCCTATCTAGCACTGTGAGTTACATTCAGGAGTTGGTTTACTAAAAAATCAGCATTTATCCCCTAAGGAGAAACCATACATAGAGAATTAATTCAAATGCTTTGGCTGGACTGGAGAGAGGAAGATAACGGAAAAGAAAGAAAACTCCCAGAAAGATCACCGAGTTTCAAATAACAGAGATGTTTCCCTTAAAAAATATGGCTTGAAAGCTTGAATCTAACAACCAATTTTTTGATCCAAATTAAAGGATGCCTAGTTATGGACACACAAGTTTTCCCAATGATTACTTAAAAAAATGTGGGAGGGAATAATTCAAAGCAAGATTATGTTAAGAATTCTCTATGTTAAGAATTTGTGTATTTGGAGAAGAAAATTCACAGAAATACAGGTCAACACACACCACACGAAACAAGCACCTCACCTTCAAGGGCTTTGGTATCGTTTTTAAAAACTTCTTGCCGTGTCCTGTGTAGTAACTTAAAAAGCTTCAAAACCTGTCAAGAAAACAACAGAATTAACTTATTTGCTAGCAGGATTCTTGAGTTAACATAGCAACTAAAAGTGTTTCGGTTGAAATTTCATGTTCTTTCCATTTAGTATAGAATTTGATATAGAATCAGTGTCTAAGATACTCTACCTCAATTCCTGATTAAAAAATCCCCTTGCAGCTAAAGCAGATGTGATGACATCAAAATCCTAGACAGATCTAGACATTTCCAATTAGTCTAAGATGCTACCACTACATTCCTAAATAATTATTTGGCACAATGGGAATATAATCCTGAAAATACACGGATGCAAACATATTTGTTGTGCACATGTCAAATAAACCCAACCGAATTGGAATAACTCTAGAAGTCAAGTCATGTGAAAGTACTATGAAGGGTACATCAGTTGATATTTTCCAATTACTGAAACAGACTGAAATATCAATGGCTAAAGTATTCTCACACAGGCCACTTTGAGAAAAGTGAACTTCAAAAGGATATGAAACTGTGTATTAACCTAATTCAACAATTACTTTTCATGCGTCTGTGCAATACCTGGGCATAATCTTCTACAGGTGGTGGGGAAAAACCCACACAAAGCAAAGTCCTTAATACAATTGTCAGGTCATCAAATAAAAATTTCAGTAAAAGCAAACACTCAAAAAATTAGGATTTACAATGTAGAGAAGACACACCTCAGTATGTATGAAAAGCAAAACTCCTCAGAACTACAGCCCACAATCATGTGGTTTTGGTTGTTTATTCATATGGACTGTAATGAATTACAGAAATCCTCAAGTCCTCATGAGACTTTTTTTGTTGTGTGTCAAAGACTGAAAAGGATCTCTGACAAGCAAAAAAATAAAAGTCCTGATAACAAGACACAGTTTGAAGTTATGCTAGTACTTCCTAATGTGTTTTGGCATCTCTAGAAGGCACAATTCCAGGTACTTCATAATAATCTTGAACTGTTTTCTCACAATTAGTATTCCAAAATTTTCTCAGAGCAACACAGAGAAAACACAGGGCTGTAACTGAGAAATGAATACCTTCTTTATCAGCATGCTCTGCACCTGAGCTGGAGATGCAAACAAGACTATCCCCCCTAAAAGAAAAAGGCCAATAGAAACATTCTGCAGGGCCCTGACAAAGTATTGCCTCTGCTTTAGGTCTGCCCAGACAGAAATGGCAATGTACTCTGAAAGCTTCTGCTTTCAACACATGTCAACACATTTTTAGATCTCCAAGCTAAGTTCCCATCCTGCACTTAGCTAGTCACTTAGCTGCACCTTGAGATAATTCATCCAGAAGTGTGTACACACAAAAACACAGCTTTTAGTGAAAGGAGGAGGACATAAACCAGTAAGAACATGCAACTTTCCAGTTCAGCGTTGCTTCTTTAATATAATAGTGCCACAACTTTAGTGCTATTAAGGAATAACTTCAAATCCCACTTCACTGTGTGGATTAGACCACACTTTTACTGTATGATTTAGCATATACTCTTGAGTATATGTGATTGCACTACAGATCTTCCTGTAAAGAGGACAAATCAGTGCATGCTCGACTGCACAAGTCTTATGAGTGTTCAAGTAAAAAACCTTTTGTCACTTTCACAAGAATTAATATATGACTTCACAATCAGTTCAATCTGAGCAGAAACATACAAAAAGAACACAGAGGCTGCTAACTCCTTTTCAGCTTCTCTGTGCTTAATAATTAGCAACTGAACAGAACCATTTGCCTTTAATTGCATCATTCCCTAGATGGGTGAATCTGTGGAAAGCAAACTCACAGAATTAAAACCCAGCAAATAAATTTCTCGCTTTGTAGATGTGTTCTAACAGATCTGCCTACATCCTGCAGTATTTCTACCCCACAGTATTTTTGCCATCATTGCAAACAGTAAATCAATATTACAAATGGTATTGTGTCAGACACATACGGTGAAACTTTAAAGTATTTTATGGCTATTTCAAACTTCTCGATGAACAGCTTTCAGACATCCTCCTCCCCTCATAGTAGTCTACAGCTTCCTTGCAAGGGGAAGTGGAGGGGCAGGCACTGATCTCTTCTCTCCAGTGACCAGTGATGGGACCTTGGCCACAGCATCAAGCCTCACAGAGCTCAAGAAGCATTTGGACAATGCTCTCAGGCACATGGTGTGATTCTCAGAGACCTCCTGCGCAGGGCCAAGAGTTGGGATTCCACGATCCTTATGCATCCCTTTCAACTCAGCATATTCTATGATTCTATTTCTGCAAATTCCTCCTGTAAAGTTTTCACCATACCAGCCACACAGTAGTTGTGTTAAAGGACCCTGAAGGAAGATACCTTAATGCAGAGTCCTTTGATCTCTACAGTCACCTAGCTAAACAAAGAACTCCACAAATACCTCAGTGTATTAGTACCCTCCATACTAGGCTTCAGAACACATCTTAGAGGTGTTCCCAAGCCCAAAATTACTTTATACTGCAACAACAGAAGGTTTAAATCATAGAATCTTAGGGGTTGGAATGGACCTTATAGATCACCTAGTCCCAACCCTCCCTGCCGTGGGCAGGGACACTTCCCCACTAGATCAGGTTGCTCAAGGTCTCATCCAGCCTGGCTTTGAACACTGCCAGGGTTGGGGCATCCACTGTCCTGGGCAACTTGTTCCGGTGTCTCACCACCCTTACAGTAAAAAACTTTTTCCTAATATGTATTCTAAATTTCTTCTCCTTCAATTTGGATCCATTACTCCTTGTCCTATCACTGCAGTTCCTAACAAAGAGTCCCACTCCGGCTTCCCTGTAGCCCCTTCAAATGCTGCCATGGGCAGGGGTACCTTCTCACTAGACCAGGGTGCTCAAGGCCTCACTCAACCTGGCTTTGAAAATAATTCTTAAGTATTTGCTTATTTTCACCTTCTCTGTACAAGTGATTCTTTCTGTATTTTAACTTCTACTTGTCACATCTCGCTCCCTTTTTCCACAAAGGCCTCTGCATGCAAACTTCAGCTGTCTGTAGCTACTTTTGTGTAGGGCTTCTTGCCCTGAAAGTCTCTGTCTTTGGACTGTATAACTGCTAGGAAGTCCCAACCTTCTAGTACATGGGAAAACTCCCCCAAGTCTATCTACATCCCGTTACAATTTACAGCGGGTCACAAATCTGAGGGGTGACACAGTCCACTTCTTCGGCACTGCCATCTACTCCCATACACCAGGCACCAAGCAGCACACCGAGAGGGACAAACTTCCCGGGTGGTCGCAGCACCAAACCTGACAGAGCTCAAGAAACCTCATGAGAAGCAGCTGAGGTCACTTGGTTCAGGCTGGAGGTGACTGAGGAGGGGCCTCATAGCAACCTACAGCTTCGTCAGGAGGTGAAGTGGAGGGGCAGGCGCGAGCACTGACCTCTGCTCTCTGGCAACCAGTGACAGGACCCAGGAAATGGTCTGAAGTTGTGCCAGGGGAGGGTTGGGCTGTATATCAGGCAAAGGTTGTTCCCCCAGAGGGTATTTGGGCACTGGAACAGCTCCCCAGGGCAGTGGTCACAGCCCCAAGCCTGACAGAGCTCTGAGGCACACGGTGTGGCTCCGGGGGATGCCCCATCGGACCGGACGGTCCCGGGGTCCCTC